AAAGTGCGAGCGGCCACCGCCAAGTTGAACGTTGAAATAGTGACAATGTGCAATATTTCGGAGGATGTTATCAGTATTCAGGAGGTGTTGCAGACGCCAGTGGAGAATGGGTTCAAGCCCACCCCTTTAAAACTGGGAACCGATCACCAGTTGGCCATACTCAGCACTTCTGGCTCTACAGGCAATCAAAAGGCAGTTGTTGTGACCAATAGCCGAGCCATTTTATGCGGATTTACGTAAGTAGAGCATACATGGTTTAGGTTGTGTATTCAAACAGCTTGTTACAGGCAGCTAACAACCGAGGATGTTCAGTACGCCTCCAGCGGTATGGACTGGGCCTTGGGTCTGTATACGATAGTCACATCCGGAGTCTTTAGCACAAGGCGCATTATATCGGAGAAGCCCTTCGATCCGTCAGAGACTCTGCGCATAATCGATCAGTACCAGGTCACGTGGGTCATGCAGCCTCCGGGACAAGTGGCAGCCATTGTAAACTGCCCGGACTTTGAAAAGGCCAATCTGCAGAGCCTGCGATACTATATATACACCGGTGGACGGTGCACCATGGAAGTGCAGGGGAAACTGCGCCAAAGAATTGACAGCGGTGTCATGAACTTCGGCTTTGGCCTTTCGGAAACGGCATCATTTTCCAGCCTAAACTGGCACTACGATGCGAAGCCCAATTCGGTGGGTCGACCGAGTCCTGGCTACAAGCTGAAGATCATCAACGACCAAGGCGAGAGTCTGGGACCCAACGAGGAGGGCGAGGTGTGCCTCAACACGGGCAGCTTTTGGCCCGGCTATTACAAAAACCCGAAGGCCACGGACGAAGTGTACAAGAACAGCTGGCTCCACAGCGGGGACCTTGGATATATGGACGACGATGGGTTCTTGTACATCGTGGATCGTAAGAAGGACGTATTGAAGTACGCGGCCAACAAGTACTATCCGCACGAAGTCGAGGATATAATTTCCGGAATGCCCGGCGTTTTAGAGGTTTGTGCCTTCGGCATTTGGAACATGCAGGGTGGAGATGCGCCAGCGGCAAATGTCGTCTTAATGCCAAGTGTCCAAATTAGTGAACAGGACGTGAAGGATTATGTGGCTCAGCATGCAAACACCGAGTTTCTGAGATTGCATGCCGGCTGCCTTTTCATTAACGATCTAAAGCGAAGTCCCAATGGAAAAACAAACCGTGCTGCCAACAAAGATCACTTTCTTCGGACAAAGGGCGTTCAGATAGACTCATAATTAAGATAACTTGGTATAACCATTTAAATCTTTTAATTGTTGTTTTAAACGGGTCACTACTTAAGCAATACTGTTGTTAAGTAGCAATAAAATAAAAAGCAAGTAATACAAAATATATGCATATTTGATTTGACTTTGCTTTTGATAACAGAAATGTAGAGATGATTTTTATACCCTTGCAGAGGGTATTATAATTTTGGTCAAAAGTGTGCAACGCAGTGAAGGAGACATCTCCGACCCTATAAAGTATATATATTCTTGATCAGGATCACCTCCTGAGTTGATATAGCCTGTCCGTCTGTCTGTCCGTCTGTCTGTCCGTCTGTCTGTCTGTCCGTCTGTTTCTACGCAAACTATTCTCTCAGTTTTAAAGCTATCGAGTTGAAACTTTGCACACACCCTTCTTTCCTTTGCACGCAGTATATATGTCGGAACGGCCGGGATCGGCCGACTATATCCTATAGCTGCCATATAACTGATTGATCGGAAACGCCATAACTTTGGTGTTTGTAAGGTTAGGAAGTTGGAATTTTCTATGGATTTTATATTTGGCCAATCAATCCGACCTACCAAACTTCATAAGGATCGGCCGACTATATCCTATAGCTGGCATATAACTGATTGATCGGAAATGCCATAACTTTGGTGTTTGTGAAGTTAGGAAGTTGGGATTTTCTATGGGTTATATATTTAGCCTATCAATCCGACCTACCAAATTTCATAAGGATCGGACGACTATATCCTATAGCCGCCATATAACTGATTGATCGGAAATGCCATAACTTTGTTAAGTTAGGAAGTTGGGATTTTCTATGGGTTTTATTTTTGGCCAATCAATCCGACCTACCAAACATCATAAGGATCGGCCGACTATATCTTATAGCTTCCATATAACTGAACGATTGGAAATGCCATAACTTTGGTGTTTTTATACCCGTTACTCGTAGAGTAAAAGGGTATATTGTATTCGTGCAAAAGTATGTAACAGCTAGAAGGAAGCGTTTCCGACCCTATAAAGTATATATATTCTTGATCAGGGTCACTAGCCGAGTTGATATAGCCATGTCCGTCTGTCCGTCTGTCCGTCTGTCTGTCTGTCTGTCTGTCCGTATGAACGCTGAGATCTCGGAAACTATAAAAGCTAGAGGATTGGCATTTTGCATGCAGATTCTAGGAGTTCCTACGCAGCACAAGTTTGTTTCAAAAAGGTGCCACGCCCCCTTTAACGCCCACAATCGCTTATATACGATTTTAAAAATTTAAATATTTCGGAAAAGTAAAAATGCAGTTTTATTGTGTTGATCAATACCTATCGAAATGTAGAAGAAATTTTTCAAATCGGACCATTCGTTAAAAAGTTATGCGTGATCAAAGTTTCTATCTCCATCTCCCTCGCACTCCCTTTACCTGAGTAACGGGTATCTGATAGTCGGGGCACCCGACTATATCGTTCTCTCTTGTTAAAGTTAGGAAGTTGGGATTTTTTATGAGTATTAAGAACGCATCATATGAATAATTTTGGAGAATATAATTTACAGAATATTCTGCAAGGGTATATCAACTTCGGCTCCGCCCGAAGTTAGCTTTCCTTTCTTGTTTTTATTTTTTTTTTCGATTTGTTAAGGGGGTATAAACCTTTTTCATTTTCAAAAAATCTAAAATTTTTTTTTCCTTTATCTTAAAGAACAACTTCTTGAGAACATTTCCCCAAATTTTCATAAAGATTTGAGCAGTAGAAAAAAAGTTACAGCGCTCCGAGCCGCGCGCCTCTTCCCCGCTCAAACCCAAACTAGAAATTTTAAACGCGAATATCTCGAAATGGTGTTTTTTGAAAAATGACTGCGGTGATATGGATTGCCGAAAAACTACTGAACCGATTTTCTTGAAATTTTTTTTTTATGTTCGTAATGAATTTTATTAGTACTTGAACGATCGTTTTTTCATGTAAAAATTTTTATTTCGCCGAAATAGATAATTTTGTAAGAATTTTAGCGTCCAAAAAAGAAATTTTTTGCATAAAAAGTTCCCGTATGCACACAAAAAAAAATTTTTAAGACGTTCGTTCAAGTACAGGATACTACTTTAAACTAATGAAATATTTGTATTTTTTCGGCTTCAGTTGACCCGTTCGTCCTGGGGAATTATCACCGCATGGCTCTTAAAAAAAGCGTTTAATGGAAACAGCCACACCTTAAAAACTATTAAATATTTTTTCAAAATTTTTTGCATAAACATTGTCAGCAATCTAAACTTTCAGAAAATATAATCATTCATTTAATAAGAACAATAGTTACATACATAAAAAAATCCAAACTTTCCTATTTTTTTCGACAAAAAAAGGTATATACCGCCTTAAGGCACTTGAAAGTCAAAAACCCCGATTTTCGCCCAAAACGTCAAAATATTTGTTGCTCTAAAAATAATACATTTTCAAAAAAAAACTCGACAGCGTTACCTGAGGAATTTAGTAGAGAAATACTGTGCAAAATCTCAAAACGATCCGTCCGATAGATTTTGTACAACGACTTTGAAATGGCCACTTTTAGGAGAGCGTTTTAAAGTTTTGAACACCCAAAAATCAAATACAAAACGAGCTAACTTACCTACGTTCAACTGCCCATAACTCGGATCAATCTAAAATTTTAACACAATATTCTCGAAATGTTGTGCATTCAGAAAAAAAAATATAAAAAAAACTCAACCGCCAGGAACTGTAGAAGTCTCATCTGACCTGAGATTCTCTAATATTGGGAAAGGTATGGACACTTTCTAATTTCACTCACAGCACAAACTCTTGCAATAAGGAAAATTAGTTTGGCGAGAGTATCTGGAAATGGCACTTTGAAATGTCAATGTGCTCTGAGCACTGTAATCTGTGCACGTGTTTGCAGCTGCTCACAAAAATACACAGCGAAAAAAATAATAGTAAAAGTAAGACTCTTAAAAAAAAGTTTTTTTTTGTTAAATTTTTAATAGTTAGAAGTCTAGAAATCTATTGTAGTAAACTACCAACTTTTATATTATATTTTGTTTTCTCTGTGCACATAGAAGGACATTTTACACAAGTTTATATATACGTATAAGGACTAACATCTGATAGCGTCGTTTGTAACTGTTTGGATTTTGTTCGAAGTACAACCCGTTTGCTTGCCTTCAGCGGAGGATCCAAAGAGTAAGGCGCCAATCTTATCGTTTCGGGATTCGAAGGACCGGGAGCCCCATTAACTGGACATACCAGATTGGATAAGCGCATAAAAATGCCCTTTAATAGAACATACAGCAATGAGTGCCATAAGCTGCAACCGCGTTTCCCAGCCGAGCTGATCTGTGCCCAGGCCCAGAGAAAATCCCTGTCAACTGTCTGGCTGTTTGATAGGCTCTTATATTTTCTTCGGTTCCAGCTCGGGTTTAATGTCTTGGATGGTAAAGGTGCACTGCTTGACACTGCTTTTCCGACTTTCAGTACACAAACCCACATAGAGTAGGTTGCTTAGAAGTAGTCGTAGCCCAGCGGGCAAAGTGTACACCTTGCAGCCAGGAGCCACCAGAGGTACCAAGCTCAAATACGGATGTTTTTTTTTATTTTATTTTTGTTAAGTTTATTTTAGAAATTGAATTCGAAGTAGCGGTAATTTGCAAGATTAACAAATTGTAACTGATGCCTTTTGATTTTTGTTTCGCTTGTTTTCGCGATACACCAGAGCGGGGCGTCTGAGCACTAGTTGCCATTCTCAGCGAAACTAGAAAACACAACTATATAAAACGGCATTGCGGTTCTGACTTGAATTAAAGACTTTAGGAAAATGGCATTTCAACCGAAAACCGACTACGATGCTGTCGAAAAAATGTGGAGCAGTGAAAGGGAGAAGCCCCAATTCGGAGAATCTTTGTCCATTGGTGAAATAATCTTTCAGGAGATGCGTCGCCATCCAAAGGGTATTGCACAGGTAGGTGGGAAAAACAAGTGAGGGATTTGATGGTTAATCACGAGAGTCAAACGTAGATATCGGACTCGGAGAAAACGATCCTTTTGCGGGAGGATCTTTTGAGGAACTCTATTCGCATCGCCACTTACATGCGCAACTTGGACCTGTCCCAGTTCGACATCGTGGGCATTATAGCGAATAATTCCACCCATATCGCGGCCGTTGCCTACGCCTGCTTTTTCAACGGCATCGCCCTGCACTCTCTAAACTCCAACTATATACCCGAAATCATTGAGAAGCTGTTCCTCATCACCAAACCACGACTCATTTTCTGCGACGGCGAAGCATACCCAAAAGTGCGAGCGGCCACCGCCAAGTTGAACGTTGAAATAGTGACAATGTGCAATATTTCGGAGGATGTTATCAGTATTCAGGAGGTGTTGCAGACGCCAGTGGAGAATGGGTTCAAGCCCACCCCTTTAAAACTGGGAACCGATCACCAGTTGGCCATACTCAGCACTTCTGGCTCTACAGGCAATCAAAAGGCAGTTGTTGTGACCAATAGCCGAGCCATTTTATGCGGATTTACGTAAGTAGAGCATACATGGTTTAGGTTGTGTATTCAAACAGCTTGTTACAGGCAGCTAACAACCGAGGATGTTCAGTACGCCTCCAGCGGTATGGACTGGGCCTTGGGTCTGTATACGATAGTCACATCCGGAGTCTTTAGCACAAGGCGCATTATATCGGAGAAGCCCTTCGATCCGTCAGAGACTCTGCGCATAATCGATCAGTACCAGGTCACGTGGGTCATGCAGCCTCCGGGACAAGTGGCAGCCATTGTAAACTGCCCGGACTTTGAAAAGGCCAATCTGCAGAGCCTGCGATACTATATATACACCGGTGGACGGTGCACCATGGAAGTGCAGGGGAAATTGCGCCAAAGAATTGACAGCGGTGTCATGAACTTCGGCTTTGGCCTTTCGGAAACGGCATCATTTTCCAGCCTAAACTGGCACTACGATGCGAAGCCCAATTCGGTGGGTCGACCGAGTCCTGGCTACAAGCTGAAGATCATCAACGACCAAGGCGAGAGTCTGGGACCAAACGAGGAGGGCGAGGTGTGCCTCAACACGGGCAGCTTTTGGCCCGGCTATTACAAAAACCCGAAGGCCACGGACGAAGTGTACAAGAACAGCTGGCTCCACAGCGGAGACCTTGGATATATGGACGACGATGGGTTCTTGTACATCGTGGATCGTAAGAAGGACGTATTGAAGTACGCGGCCAACAAGTACTATCCACACGAAGTCGAGGATATAATTTCCGGAATGCCCGGCGTTTTAGAGGTTTGTGCCTTCGGCATTTGGAACATGCAGGGTGGAGATGCGCCAGCGGCAAATGTCGTCTTAATGCCAAGTGTCCATATTAGTGAACAGGACGTGGAGGATTATGTGGCTCAGCATGCAAACACCGAGTTTCTGAGATTGCATGCCGGCTGCCTTTTCATTAACGATCTAAAGCGAAGTCCCAATGGAAAAACAAACCGTGCTGCCAACAAAGATCACTTTCTTCGGACAAAGGGCGTTCAGATAGACTCATAATTAAGATAACTTGGTATAACCATTTAAATCTTTTAATTGTTGTTTTAAACGGGTCACTACTTAAATAATACTAATGCTGTTGTTAAGTAGAAATAAAATAATAAGTAATAAAAAATAAAAAACAAGTAAAAAAAATGCATATTTGATTTGACTTTGCTTTTGATAACAGATATGTATATATGATTTTTTATTATAACACAAATATACTCGTTAATACTGGACTCGGACCGGAATGCCAGACGAACATTGTTCACTGCAATTCAATTGGAATTAAACCCAACCGCCAGGAACTGTGGCAGTCTCAGCTGACCTGCGATTCTCTAATATTGGGAAAGGTATGGACACTTTCTAATTTCACTCACAGCACAAACTCTTGCAATAAGGAAAATTAGTTTGGCGAGAGTATCTGGAAATGGCACTTTGAAATGTCAATGTGCTCTGAGCACTGTAATCTGTGCACGTGTTTGCAGCTGCTTACTTGCTGGCGAGATTATACCGCGCTCCCTCACAAAAACACTCAGCGAAAAACTTAATAGTAAAAGTAAGTCGCTTAAAAGACAGCTAAGTTTATTGGTTAGAAGTTAAAGACTCACTATATTCATTAAAAAACATTTTTAAATAAAATAAGTTTATATAAAAACTTATTTGAAAATAGAAATCTATTCTTTAAAAAATAAGTTAAAATCGTAGATTTTTAACAGGATAACAACAGCTTTTAACAATTTAGTAAATTATATTATTATTATAATATATACAATATATTATATTTTGTTTTCTCTGTGCACATAGAAGGACATTTCACTCAAGTTTATATATACGTATAAGGACTAACATCTGTTAGCGGCGTTTGTAACTGGTTGGCTTTTGTTCAAAGTACAAGTTGCATTTTTACCCGCCATTTTCTCCTCCTTTGGACAATGCCAGGACTTGCAGGCGTTGCTTTTACTGCTGTCGATGTGGTTGCTGTGCCAATATCCTGGCATCATTGTTATTACCGCAGTCCGAACATGCGCCTGCTCGTTAGCTGGAAACTAGTTCCACCAAGCTCTGTTTAAATCGCCCAATGCCCTTGTATTCACAAGAAACTTTGACATTTGATTTAAGACCATTGAAGGTAGGATATTTAAAAGCCTTTAGATTAAAGCTGCCCACCCCCACTTGGCATCGTTTGATTTTAATTCGTCCGTCATCTTCCTCGGAAAACGTTGCCAAATGTTAAAGAACTGCTTCTGGTTTTTATGGGATCCCTTCCCCAAAACGATTGACTGATGAAAAGGCTATTAATTAGCCACTTTGTATGAACCTCAAAACGATTGGCAACAATAAGTTGGAATTGATTAAATAAATTAACGCTCAATTAGGCAAGATGATTTCGCACTCTGTCGATTGCCAATTAATAAATGCATCTGCACGGTCAATAAATCTTTTATTCATAATTGCGCGAGGTCATAAATTCTGACAAATTGTTTGCACACTCGATACTTTATTATTTATTATATCCTCATTGGTCTAGATTTGTAATTTTTATTTAAGCACCGTTTTGAATTAAATTGTTAAAATAGTATTACAAAAAAAGTTCTTGAATCTCTATTAAAAATTATAATTAATTGATTAACCATCTACGCCTAACTTGCATGTACGGGAAGAAAGTTAACCACCTCGAATTAAATTGTTTGATAAGATTTTTAAATCTTAATTCCAAAACGTGGAACATGACTGACTTAAAGTAAGATAAGTATGATATGAAGCAAATAAAAAGGCAATAACTTTTTATATGAGCTGACTTTAGAATAATTTTGTATTGCGTTCAAAAGTTTAAACTACACCAAACATTTAAAATAGCATTGTCGAGAATGGATTAAAAAACTGACTATTTATCGCGCGATCTGGGTACAATAATTTTCCATGTATTATGCATTCAAAGTGACTTTTTAATGGTAGTTTTAATTTTCATTAGTTATCCAGCTGTTCCAGGTCGCATTTTGCACTTAACTCTCGATAACTGGATTTCACGTGTTCACAGTTTGTTGGCTTATTGATTACATGTCAGTGCTACTAAAATAATAATTTCCCTCTTTTCACATTTTACATTCAAATTTAAAAATAAGTAATGTTTAATTTATAGCAGTCCATTAGAGGCCCCTCTAATCTAATTTGAGTTTCGGTGGTAGGTGATAAGATTCAATACACAAATTGAAAACAATTAATTTATCTAGTAAATAGTTTACTGAACAGAGCAATTGTTGTTGTATCTATAGTAAGCATGTAGCAATAAAAAATGATTTTGTTAAGAAATACTATTGCACGTCTTACTTGGCGGTCACTGGTTAATAACTGGATTGACAAGTCAACTCGATCTACATTTGCTAGGCTTATAAAAGCCCGATCAGAATGATGATATCATAGTTTAACCGCAATCTTTCAATCACCAGGATGTGGGCTCAGACTTTCCTGATTTTACTGGGGACTTTGGGTAGGTGAAAATATATGTGTAAAGTTTTAATTAAAAAATTGTATGTTTAAAATATAGCAATCCAAGCCGCCTCAGTTGGCCAAGAATGTGGACGATTCAATGAAGAGCAGTTCAAGAGCAACAACATAATTACGGAGAAGGAAGAGCATCCGTGGGTTGCACGGATCGAGCATACGGATATCGATGGGGAAGAAAGACTGCTCTGCACCAGCATCCTTATAGATGCCCGACATTTGCTGACAGCCGCCCACTGTGTCGATTCCGACACTCCGATTACTGGTGTCGTTTTCGGCGACTCGGACTCGAACAGTGCAAGGCGTGTTGAATCGATCACCATCCATCCAGACTACTCAACTGGCAAACCCGAAAAAGACTTGTCCATAATCGGGCTACTCGATGAAGTGAAATTCTCAGAATTTGTTCAACCCGTTTGCTTGCCTTCAGCGGAGGATCCAAAGAGTAAGGCCCCCAATTCAGATCTTATTGTTGCGGGATTCGAAGGACCGGGACCTCCATTAACTGGGCATACCAGATTGGATGAGCGCATAAAAATGGCCTTTAATAGAACAGACAGCAATGAGTGTCACAAGCTGCAACCGCGTTTCCCAGCCGAGCTGATCTGTGGCCAGGCCGAGAGAAAAGCCCTTTCCGGATCTGCTTTGGTAGAGCCTTCTGGGACTCCCCGGAAGTTCCATCTAATTGGAATGTCGGTGGTGGGTTTTGGCTCGCCCACAGGGTTTTTCCACGGTTTCCTAAACATTCGATCCCACCTAGATTGGATCCAGCAGACCATCTCTAAGTGAAGAAGAGTTCTCAACTTTTCTCATTAGTGATAAGATTTTCAATTTTTGGTCACCAGGCTGTGACTTTTGACAGGTTGATTTATAAATAAAGAAGCAAATTCGTACGCCAAGTTTGTGGTTATTCATTTGGCCGCACTTAGTTGCTGCTGGTTCTGCTAATAAATTGAAAACGCTTTCAGGTTGTTTGCACAAAGTTGCCAGTGCCTGACCCAAACCCAAATGCATAAATCACGCGAAGCCCCAAAACACAGTTGGGGTCCTTGCTATTGGGTTGTCGCCTGCACGAAATTTAATTCCCACCCACCGCATCCTTCACCTTTTGGCCCCCGCAACTTTGGCCATTAGACAACCACCCACTTGGCCTTCTGTTTTGGGGAAATGCAGTTTTTCGACACTTTCCTGGCGCCAAAAAGCGTAAGTACATATCAACTTGGAATAATTTATGTTTGGCTGGGGGGCCAAACTACTCGCCTTCATCGCCTCCCCCAGTTCAGTGCAACCGGAAACCTTATCGAATGGAGGACATGGAGTATTGAAATGTGCGGGTAGCTGGGTTCATAAATTCATTCAAATCAAATACCGAGTGCCTCGATTACGAGATTTATACTGCCAGTGAATCATGTCTAATTGTCGCCCAAGCATGAGTACTGATCGCAGTAGCTAAGGGATTCAGTGAAGTCATCAACAGGCAAATAAGCAGATGGGTTGCGCATACGCCCCGTGCCCCGAAATGATTAATGTGCCATAAAATGCGCGCGCCAAAAACATTCACAGCTAACATTCCCTAACACGCGAAATCCGCACGCAAAACAAACGCAGAAGCGAAGCGAAATTAAAATACACATTTTTATGGCACTTTTTTATTGCAACACGTAAAGCACAAATTGAGACAAGATGGAGTGGAAGCCAATTGGGTGTGGCTGCTACAAGCAATTACAATTTTAAATGCAACGCACATAAAATGCACGGAATGTCTTTTTAAACGATAACGAGCTGCAATTACAGGGCAAATCTCTCACCCTACAATTAACTTAGTTGTTATCCGACTTTGCGGATGTACGGAATGCCCAACGGAATGCAAAGCAAAATGATTATATCCAGGTTGGTCGCTGTTTTCGTCGCATTATCGTCATTGTCTCTGGGAAGGAAGAATCACATTAATGTTTCCCTGACCCCAGACTGACTTCTTGATTTACAGACTCCATTTTGGTCAGCAGTCATATTTGGGAGTGTCCGAATGTGAAGCCAGTGATTGAAGCGGATAACCAGGAGAAATTCAGTAAGGAAAGGCATAGAGTCCACCGGATATTTATTCATTTGGAATTATTGCTGCCAGCGAAATTTCCAAGATTTTAAGCTTACTCACTACGAGGTTTGTGCGTACATTCATCAGGAAAAAGAGTTATTGAATGGCGCTGCTCTGTTGGGGGTAAAAGCGGTAAATGGATCTGAGGCCTGGCAGCTAATAGGAATTTCACGCTAATTTCCCCGTACAGAAAGTGGATTGGAAACCTTCTTAGTTTATAACTACGAAAATCGATATTACGACTTTTTTAGTGATCGGTCTGCGGTAATGAGGGCCGTCACCCCACATTTGGTGGATTACTCGGTGTGCCAGGAGCAGTGCAAGCAAATATCGACGCATCGAATTTGCGGCTACGTTCTGGGAACGCTACTGCAGCCGGGTGCCATCCTGGCAGGAGTTCGCCTTGTGGGAGCGGAACCTCTTCGGACATCTCCTTTCCAGATTCGATTGCCTGGTTTCGGGAGCAGATCCTTTCACGTACATCGTACCCTACACATATTGAATAAAGAAGCGCATCAATTATATTTAATATGGTGCTAAAAATATAAATTCGTCCTACATTAAAAACACCCCCTTCAACTATTCTCATATTAAAATAGAGAAAATACATTAGAGTAATAATTTACCTCAATATATAATTTACAATATGAAAGGCTTTTCGAAAAGGGTTTCATCTCAATTTAATTATGTTTTACTGTTTTTATTGAGATTTTTCAAATAATTTTCAACGAGTCAAGATTTATTTTGCTTAAATTATTTTTAAGAGTAAACAACAATTTAAAAATAACGGATGACCAAACCCTTTTAGCAGTGCTGCCACATTGCTCGATTAATCGATAGGCAGTGACATAACGATAAATGACCAGCATTGAGGAACTATCGGGTGTTGTGTGTGGTTAGCATCACTGAAGAAGAAGAATTTCCCTCCAAAATAGTTAGTTTATTTGGAAAAGATTGATAATAGAATTTGTTTACCAACTGAATGAGCGAACCAACTCAATGAGCACCATTCTAGACAACTTTCAACGCGCCGAGAAAATCGGCGAGGGCACCTATGGGATAGTTTACAAGGCGCGGAGCAACGCCACCGGCCAGGATGTGGCGCTCAAGAAGATCCGGCTCGAAGGGTGTGTAGTCCGGATGTCAGGATGGGGATATCCATTTCTCTGGCTTTCATTACCTTTACAGCATATACAATAATATGTGTATACTGGCGTCCTGGGCGAATGTCCTTCGCCTGCACCCCGAAGCCCGGATTCTGTGGAGGCTGCGCTGCTTCTTTTCTCAAATTCCGTAGCACCACATGATTCGGCTTCGTGGTGCAGGACAGCATCGGCTTCCAAAGCCACCATTACACACAATACCTCCATTTATTGCTCCTGTTTAACACCATTATCCCAACTTCCAGTGAAACGGAGGGCGTTCCTTCGACGGCCATTCGAGAGATCTCCCTGCTAAAGAACCTGAAGCACAAGAATGTGGTTCAACTATTCGATGTGGTCATCTCCGGCAACAATCTGTACATGATATTCGAGTACCTGAACATGGATCTAAAAAAACTGATGGACAAGAAGAAGGATGTTTTCACGCCTCAGTTGATTAAGGTACATTGATCCCTGTTGTCATCTGTGGAATATTGCATTTATACCTTCTTTTCAGAGCTATATGCATCAGATATTAGATGCTCTTGGCTTTTGCCACACCAATCGTATTCTGCATCGCGATCTCAAGCCCCAAAATCTGCTCGTTGATACTGAAGGCAAAATAAAGGTGAGATTATGGCGATTACCAACTATGTTATGTACTAATAACTTCATTTTTAGTTGGCTGACTTTGGACTGGCTCGAGCCTTCAATGTGCCCATGAGAGCCTACACCCACGAAGTGGTCACCCTGTGGTACCGAGCTCCGGAGATTCTGCTGGGCACTAAGTTCTACTCCACAGGCGTGGACATCTGGAGTCTGGGCTGTATTTTCTCAGAGATGGTAGTGACTTTATGAACTATAAATAACTCCTATTGACTACAATTTACTTTATAGATCATGCGTCGCTCCTTGTTTCCCGGGGACAGCGAGATCGACCAACTTTATAGGATATTCCGCACGTTAAGCACCCCCGATGAAACCAAATGGCCTGGTGTGACGCAGCTTCCGGACTTTAAGGCCAAGTTCCCCAAGTGGGAGGCCACTAACATGCCACAGACCATAACCGATCACGAGGCCCATGAACTTATAATGGTGGGTGACCTAAAATCATATCCTTAGCTGTAATCTATAGTCTTTTACCTTTCAGTCCATGCTGTGCTATGATCCCAACCTGCGCATCTCTGCCAAGGACGCCCTACAACACGCCTACTTTCGCAATGTACAACATGTTGACCATGTAGCCCTGCCCGTGGATCCCAATGCAGGCAGCGCATCGCGGCTAACGAGGCTCGTCTGATCATGCACAATAGTCCCAGATCTAGCAAATTACTTGTGATCTCTAGTATAGTAAGTTAAATGTCTACCTCTCTATTTTTAAGGCGAAACTAGTGCAATTATATGATTCGGATATCTAACCTCTCTTGCAGCTGCCAGCTCCATTTCATGCATTTCCCACCCTCACTTGCATTTACCACATACGATAAATACACGATCATCCATACGTAAAGAGTTTATTCAAGATAGTTTAGTCCGGATTACCAGGCGCCCAGCCGGAAAAGGCGTCGTTGATAATGGCGTGGCGAAACTTTGGCGTCGGAATCATGTGCATCGGCTCCATCGCTTGCGAGCCTCTGGCGCTCCCGGGTGTGGAGATCGTCGCGCATGTACGTGCCCAGAGCATTGCGCATGCTCTCGGAGAGTGGTGAGTGGGTTTCGATATCGCCGTCGTCTTCATCGTTAATCGTTGCATCGCTCGGTGTGCTGCTGTCGTTTTCCTCAACCGTCTCTTCGTTCTTATTGGTCGACTCTGGCCTGCTCACTTCTGCTTTTGGGGGGGACTGGCTCTTGACCGACGAGACGGCCAGCGGGCGCAGCAGAGTCACCTTCCTGGGGCCGAGTCTCCTCAACACGGGCGACGCCGTCTCCGGTTCGCTATCGTTGTCTTCTGGCTCTCGCTGCTGCTGGCCATTAAAGCTGTAGAATCTGGCTTGGAAATCCTGCGGACTGAAGCGTTGCACTCCGTAGTAGTTGCCCGAGTTGGTATCGTAGAAGAACATGGGCTGTGCGGACGGCGGCGGCGGAGGAGGTGGCGCGTAGTAGTGATCATATGATCCGTAATCATCATCGTTCTCCTGCGAATCGTAGACGGGTCGGCGCTTCTGCTGCTTTCGGCGCTTTCGCTTGCGTTTGTTAGAACTCTGCGAGGCCACCGGTGTGGGCTCCTCTAGCTGCAGCTCCTGGTCATCATTGTAGGCCTCCAGGTAGACGGGTGACGTCTCAATGATGTTGGCACTGCCATCGTTAAAAAAGTTGGCCAGCGGGTTGGTCAGGTTGCGGAAACTGAATGCGGGCTGAACACTGCGCACGAAACTGTTCCAAACCCGAACCAAAGGTCTTTCGGTGGTTGATGTAGTATCTGCTTTGCCCAGACTGTGGACATTACGCCTTGTGTATCCACCTCGAGCACTCGGCAGAAGGACATATTCGACTGGATGATTTCTGGATCTAAAAATAAAAAAAAAACCTCGTTCAGCAGTTATTTTAGGACTCAAATTTAAACAATCTCCGTTGATTGCTATTAAGTTTTTCTGTCCCCAAAGAACAATGTTTCCTTACCCAATCTTAGCCTGCTTTTGCGGCAAGCGTTGCTCAGCTTGTAGAGCAGAAATACGGACTGCTTGCGAAGGACAACTCCATGCCACAAAGAGCAAAAATGCAGTACACCATAGCCATTGCATATTTAAATTATATGCCTTCCTTAGACTTATAATAAAAACTGTTGAATGCGTCCGTTGCCGTTCCCAGTCAAAGGGAAACTAAAACTCCTCCGATTCGCGACAGCAGTTGTCAACAACTCGATAGCTATGCCTTTGTCTTGTCGCCCAGAGCCATCTCATTAGAATAGTTTTTATTGGTCCAGCGAACGCTTAGAAAAAGACTTTGCCAAATTAATTTGTAATGGCTTTGTTCCAATCCCCAGTTTTTTCCCCAAAGTGGTTGTGTTGGTGGCCCTAACTCATGCCGACACTAACCCAATTCGGAGACCATCTCCATGTCTCCCGCGGGGCTTGTTGGCAGCTGCCAATCTGGCCCATACATATGCAAATGGATTTTTATAGATTACACAATTAATTCGCCATTCAAGGTGTTGTCTGTGACTAAAAAACTCGTTTGCTTGAGGGTTCTGATTTCGAAAATTATGCTAAGCTGCCTGGGATGCGTCGTCGGTTTGCGAAATGCTTTCTCCTGACGAATTTGTGTTTATTAGGGCTTCTCCTTATCAAGATTTTACGATCTAGGCAAACTTATTGGTTTATTAATGGGTGCATTTTCTTGGCAGCTTCGCTTTTTTATGGCATAACAATGCTGATGGTGATGAAAGCCCTAAATGGACGTATTAGATGGATTTGTCAGACCAATTTGGCAATATTTATTGCGAAAGAAATTGGATCATCCAAGACATTCAGTTGAGTTCTTTTCGTCAAAGATAAATCTTGGGAAAGAAGTGTCACACTTTCTAAAGACTTAAAAAGTAATATCTAGGCTAGTTTTTTTTTAGCAAAACTACTATTTGATTTTTTTTGTTTGCTTCGTGCAATTAGCAAAAAATAATCATAGAAATAGTAGCAGAAATATGCCAAGCTTTTATTTTATAAAATAAATCGAAGCTTAATTATTAGTTAAGGTTTAAGAAGTTACTACTTTACTACTAACGTCAAAAAATAAAATAATTTAGTGACCATGATAAAATGCACTTATCGATTTCCTGAATAAACATTCAATTCAAAAAAGGTTTTATTGACTTGCCAAAACTTATTTTGTGCCGGCAATCACGGCATGTAAAAATCCTTATCAGCCAACATCGCGAAACAATTTACTGAGTCCTTCGAACAGCTGAACGGAAAAGCAACGGAAAAAACAAAACAAAAAACCAAAAACCCCAATGAAAAGCGCAAAGAAAATTCCTAACAAGTGTTTTTCTTTGCCAAAAGAATGAGAGAGGAAAAGCGTGGCCCAGAGAGAGGGCTTTTGGCTGGGAGAGGCAGGAAAAGCTTCCACTTCGGCCACTGGCAAGGCAGCGCAGGAATCGGTTCAGTCTACTTTGAGATTCCTGGCCAGAAACGACACGATTTGCCAGGACGTCCGCGGCGGGTGCTCTAGAAAAGGATAGCTGGAGAAACGCCAGCAGCTAACGCCAGAATCGCTGCTGTCACAGTTTCCACCTAAGTCGAAGGAAAACAAGTCAAAAGGCTCGTTCAAGTGGCAGTTGCTTTTTTTTGGGCCAAGCCAACGGTTCGTTTCGTGTGTGCGCCTTTGTGAATGTGAGCCAGTGTATCTGTGAGTTGTGCCTGCTGCCTGCTGCCTGCGTGTGTATCTGTGTGTGCCTTCGTTTTGTGTATCCGTGCAGCGTTCCGTTTCCGAGCTGCTCCAAATTTGTAGCCAGCATATTTTTGCACATTTAATTGAATTAAGTAAAGGGCTCGAGCCACGGAGAACAGTGTCGCCAGTCCAGTCCGGTTGAGTTCCGTTCGGTCCGCTCGCTATCTTTATATAAGAGAAAAGAGCGCAAGAAGGCCAGAGAATTGCGTAAAGTTTGTGTGCCATGTGGCTGTGCCGTGGGAAAATGACATTAAGTGCTTAAGTAAATTATATAAAAACATTAAACGCCCCGTCGAGCATCCATAACTCGAGTCATTCAAGTCGACAGCTGTGCAGCCTGGAAAAACACATTTCCCCTTTTAGCCCTCCCCATTTTGTTGGTCAAGATAAACGGATTCGCCAGGCAATTTCCTTTGCGCTATTTTCTAGGCGAAATGGAAAAGTAGCAACCGCCTGAGGGGGCGGAGTGGGTGGTCGGGCTAGATTTTCGACTACTGTCAAGGTGTGCGCCGACCTCAAGGCCTAGTCACTAACCCTAAACCCAACCGCAGGCACACACGAACGTGCACAAGTTCCAGCCAACGAAAAGTTATCTTGGCGGGCGTTTTGTTTCCATTTTTAAAAGCGCGTTTCTACACTCTAAACACACAGCACAGAACTATGGATATTAAGTTTTAAAATATTCATATATATTTCCTTCCTTAAATAAACCCGAAACTAGTTTGGAGTTGTTAAAGGGACATAGGAAATTGTAAAACAATAATTGTCTGACCCATAACTAGGCTATTGGTAATTCATTAAGTCTGGTTTGTATATGATGAAAGATAATCTAACTATATATTACGTCGCACCTTTGGACACCCTATTACTTTCGGATTTCCAATTTGTTTCCGTGTGTCCCAGGTAACCTGCCGTTGAGCAGGTGTCTGTCGGCTACTGTTTTTGGCGTCACTTTCGTTTTCCCTCTCGCATTGCCCTCGCTCAAGTGCTGTGCTTGACCATAACCACTAAAAATGTCACATTGCGTATACGCCGCGTGGTGTCCTCGAACAAGGTGTGTGTTTGTACGCTTACTGTTGTTGGCTGTTTTTCGCCGTTGTTGTTGCTGTAAGCTCGTTTACTTTTGGCCAACAAACACCACCCACACAAAACTGCTCTCTCTCTCTCTCTGTCTCTTTTGGATTCTCTCGAGACAGCTTGCTTTCTCCTCTCTGTGGCGCACTTTCTCTTGTTCAGCTGTTTGTTTTGTTTTGAATCGCATTTCTGGTCGAACGGCGGGAGGAATGCGCTGTTTATCCCCCTGTCTGTCGTCGGTCCGGTCATCGTCATCTGGTCACGTTTTCCTGCCCATCCTCCTCAAGCTCTCCTCAAGGCGCACATGCCTGGCAATTTAAATTTTATTGTGATTTTTATTCTTGGCAAAAATAAACAGCAGGAGTCGTTTTTCTTAGCGCTGCTTTATAGAGCAATTTGGCGCCTAAAAGTATGCACCGCCATGCCGATAAAAGCGATGTGTCTACATTAGCTTGACGAGACCTCGGGGAAGAAGGGTGATGATAAAAGACGAAACTTACCAGCAATTTAATATTTAATCCTCCTGGTCTAGGACCTGCCTGCTTTATACATAAAGGAAGTCCGTCCAAAACATTAAAATAACTTTTCACGTGAAATAGCCCCATTTAGTGCACAGAGAAAAAGTATAAGCGAGTTCTTAAGCCTTAATCACACAATGCCTCATAAAATATAAACAGTCCCCGAATGATTTTAATAATATACATCCAAATGAAAAAAAAATTAAAAATTATTTCTTTATATTCAAACTCTGTTTATGTTTTTGCTACAAACAGCAAATCTGTTTGATGCTTAAATTCAGCTTATCCGAATCTATAGAATATGTCTTTTGTTTCTAACACACATCTGAAACTACATTTATATTCTATACAAATAATTTACATCTTAATATTGTTATCGTTTTTAAATACAACTTAAGAGAAGAATTTATTGAAAGTGAGGAAAAGAAATAATGATGACTTTTTGTGTGCCCATTTGTGTCTCTGTAAACGTTCAAAGCATTATTCAGTTTTTCTCTCTGGTTCCTTCGAAATCTACCAGTTAAGTCAATGTCTTGGCATTCGTCCAATGGCAAGGCAGCCCAAAACCTAACTCACCACCCACCCATTCAGCCCCCAGGGCTTCCGTTTCCGTTCTGCTGGGTATTTGCAACATTTTCGGCTGTCTCCTGTCGACTGCCAGACTTTTGTCCTCGCAGGAGGGGCGCGGGGAAAGCGATGAAATTTCCATATTCCTTGCATTAGCCAACTAGCGGCGTCTGCGCTGCGCTGAGTGACTGCTCATTAAAATGCTATAAGTGTAGGAACAATTTGCATGTTGCACGAGCTTCGAGCTGCGAACAACGAGTCTCGGGCTTGGAGCTGAATAATTAACACCCCGGCAAGACCTGTTGGCAGCTGGTATTTCTCTTACGTATTTTATTCAGCGCTCAGGAGCGTACAATCAGGGAATTGGAATTCTGGTAGATAAAGTCTAGGTAGTTCCGAATGGCCAGGAAGCTGGACATGATGCGGTTGTCCTCCCAGCGCCAGTCGATCATGAAGCCCACCAAGTAGAAATTCTGTGTGACCTGGCCCCTTCTTCTGCATTCCCACGAGCGGTGCGCCCAAGAAATAGGCCTCCGGTTTCATCTGGTAGCCACACACTGTATTGCTGCTGGTCACCAGCGCCTCGACTTTCGACTGGCAGAACGAACGGCTGAGCGTGTTCACCCAGGTCTTCAGCCTTAGATCCTCCTTGATGCGCAGACCAGCCACCAGGAACGTCTGGCCCACCAGCGTCTCGTTGACCAAGTGAGGAGGTGGCATGCAGATGGGCATCACGTTTGGATAGATCTTGGCGTCTCGCTGCAGGGTGAGCACGGCCAGGCTGTTCTTCAGCGTTCGCGAATCGTACTCCGGATGGATGGCCACCTCGGCCAGCTTGATCTCCTGCGCAGGACGCACACAATATCCTTCCTCATCGCAGACACGACCGCCAACGGGAGCACTCTTGTTGTAGACACCCAGGTGAACGGAGAAGGCCTGCGCCTCCCCGTTAAACTGAACAAAACAGTGGGCTGGAGCCAGAACAGTGCGCTTGGATATCAGCACGCCCAGACAGCCATTGTCTCGAATCTTGCCCTCGAACCCTATAAAATAATCAGTAGGGGAGTTTCGTATCGCATAATATCTAAGAGCACAAAGATACTTACCTTTGCCAAATACTATCCGGGCCAGCCACTGGTGCTCCGTGGGTGTGGCGAGGACGCTTTGTTTGAGCATCTGATCCTCGTCGAAGTAACCGCACTCCGTGTCCTGCAACTTGGCCGATTGCACTTCCGAGCCAATTAGGCCCAGAATCAGCGTGATAACTGCTATTCGCCCAAGCATTCCGAAGCGCAGCTCAAAGTCAACTGACTCAGAACAGGGAAAAATGAAAAGTCTCCGACTACTTTTAAGAATGCAATTATCCAGAAGCTTATGTTCAATAGGAGAGCTTAAATTTCCAAGTAACTCTTACAACTACCTGTTTTTTTACGTTGCTAATTAATGATCTATGAGAGATTGAAAACCCGTTTCCGATGCGAACCACTGGGCAGATCCCAGCACGATGCATCAGTAATTTCCCTGGCCCGAGAAAAAACATTTTACTTCCTCGTCTGTCGTCTTTATTAATATTATATTTTCCTACATAGTATTGACAAATCAAGTTGTTTATTTGGAATTATCCGCTATCCAGGAACGGGCGTTTCGCACGTTTTGGTAGACCTGAGTGGTAGCCCCTCCGGCATCCACATTGCGGACTAGCAAAGCCACCAGGTAGAAGCTGTGCGGCTTATCACCCTGCACATCGATGTCCATCAGTGCCGATCCCGGATAGAACTTGGTCCGCTTCACGGGATATCCGCACAGCTGGTTTTCGGGGAAAAAGACGCTGGAGGAGGTCAGCCGCTTGCACTTCGGCGTGGAGACCGTCATGGCGAGCCCCTTGCCCTTGTAGGTGGAGAAGTGGTTGAAGCCGGAATAGTGCAGGTTTCGGTTGGTCAGCGTCTCCGGCTCCGAGCTGCCCTGCAAGCAGATCGGTTGTATCCACTTGGTCCACTTGATTGGCTTTTCCAGCCGCAGGATGGCCAAGTCGTTGTCACCCGTGTCCCTGTCCGACTGTGGGTGCACCTTGATATCGATCACATTGTATAGAACAGGGCCAGGCACACAAAAGTCCCTTTCGTTGCAGACCAGCTCGTCATCGGGGGAGCTCGACTCGTCCCAAACGCCCAGCATTGCCACGGCATCGGTGTCTCCGGATCGGTTCTTGAACCGTTTCACACACGTGGCGGTGGTGAGGACGTGCAGCTCGTTAATGATGACAACGGAGCATGCCGTGTTGTCATATCTTTTGTCTGGTATAAACAAAATAAGGGTCAATAAGTAGGGATGGCTAAGGGATGGCTAATTAATATATTTACTTAAGTCTTCAAGGGTCAAATATTTTTTTGGATATTTATAAAAGCAATTATCCAAGGAATAAACCTAACTGTTGACTCACCACGACCCGCCAACAGGATTCCTATCCAGGGATTCTCGGAGGGCTCAGTCCTCTCCAGGATTGTGTATAAATACCTCTCCTCTAGACGACCGCATTGGAACTCTGCCACTGCCGAGGCTGTCAATTCAAACACCATGTTAACAGGCTTGTGGACATTTAAATAATAATATTTTTACTCACCACCCAGCCAGGCTACAATCAGAAGCAGAACAAGTTTTCCGCTTACAAGCACTTCCATGTCGATATGCTTCAAGTGCTCAGAGTTAACTAAACGTATTTCTCAGATTGAAATTCGGTCCGAGCTGAGTTGCATTGGCAAATCTACCGCTCTCTTCGACTGCTGTTTAAGTCACTGATTTCCAATCGATTTAGAAAAGGTTGATAGTACTCGGAATTTATAATTATTTATTTATACTTATTCCACTGCTGCCGTATCCCTTTAAATCGTCGGATATACATGTTCTTTAAAATAAATAATGCTAAGTTAGCCTTATCAGTATTATATAGGTAGCTATATAATTGAAGCTATTGGATTACTCAAGTCACACGTTGGTTATATTTAATTTCTTCTATAACACAACGTTTTTTCCTCTAAGCTTAGCTTTATAATATTTTCATCATATTCCGGATGGCAAATATGTATATTATGCACCATAGAAAACGTAATATGGGAAAATTTTAAATAACTAGCTGCAGAGACTTGTTTTCATAGCACAGACAAAGAAATTACGAGTTTTTAATTTATACTTCAAATACAATCTTTAAAAAATCGAGAGAGATCGAATATTTTCGAATATACAATACAATAAGATAACGATTTTTTGAGATTCATTGCAAACGATTTCAAAAATATGTTTTTTTATTTAATCGCAAATGGTTTTTGTAGCTGAGATTGCGACTGGACTAACAGGTCTATTCTGTTTTCTATAATTTTAGCCCCTTGTAAAAACCCAGAGCAACATTTAGTTTTACTCACGAAACAATCTCCGTTAAAGCACCAATTAGATTCAATTTAATTTATTTTTTGCTCAGTAGCGTACAATCAGAGAGTCGGAATTCTCGTAGATGAAGTCTAAGTAATTCCGGATGGCAAGAAAGCTGGACATGGTGCGGTCTGTGTCCTTGCGCCAGTCGATCAATAATCCGACCAGGTAGAAGTTCTGGGTGACTTGCTCCTTCGCCTGCATCCCGACCAGCGGTGCCCCAATGATAAACACATCTGAATTGGTCTGGTAGCCACACACAGTGGTGCTGCTGGTCAAGAGTGTGCCGAATTTTGATTGACAGAAGGATCGGCTGAGCGTATTCACCCAGGACATCTGCCTTAGATCCTGCCACTTGCGCAGACCAGCCACCAGAAACGTCTGCGCCACGAGCGTCTCGTTGGCCAAGTGAGGAGGTGGCATGCAGATGGGCATCACACTCTTATAGAGCTTCGCATCTTGCTCCAGGGTGAGCACGGCCAGGCTGTTCTTCAGCGTTCGCGAATCGTACTCCGGATGGATGGCCACCTCGGTCAGCCTGATCTCCTGGGCAGGACGCACACAAAAGCCATCCTGTTCGCAGATTAGTGTTCCCACAGCAGCGCTCTTGTTGTAGACACCCAGGTGAACGGAGAACGCCTGCGCCTCCCCGTTAAACTGAACAAAACAGTGGGCTGGAGCCAGAACAATGCGCTTGGATATCAGAACGCCCAGACAGTCGTCAGCATTGTCAATCTTGATCCCTGTAATAGCAAGTGTAGTTATTTCAGTATCTATGGAATGCCAGTAATCCTACCTTTGGTAAAAACGATGCGGGCTACCCACGGGTGCTCGGTGGGCCCGATAAAAGAGTCTTTCTCTAACAGATGTTCCTCGCTAAAGTAACCGCACTCCGTGCCCGCCAAATTTGCCCATGCAACATGCACTCTGGAGCCAATGAAGCCCAGAAGCAAGGTGAGAGCTGCGAACTGTCCAAGCATTCTGAAGCTCAGCTTAAAGTCAACTGACTAGAACACTGGGACCAATAAAAACAAGGTGTTTTTGACTCACTCGAATTAATTTATAAATTGAAAAGTTTCTGAATAATATTTACTTGCTCTCCGAATGGCAAGATATTAGATTTTACTCCCGACTAACACTTTCAACTACCTGTTTTCTACTATTCTACCCAATGCTCTGTGATTACATTACTGCGAAAGATAGAAAACCCGTTTCCATGACGATTTCTCGATATTTCCCATGGACCCACAAACACAACTTCCTCATTCGTATATTTTAACAACAATTTGTACAATCTGCCAACAGTTGAAAATCATTTGCTTACAGATTTTGATTTGTGGTAGTTTCCATGTAGATGTGAAATAACTTGAAGGTATTCGAAAATCAATAGATAATTTTTTCCAATCGCTAAAAATTATAGGCAATTATCAGGACCTTCATTATAAAGCCATTAGGCTCTTGAAATATCCCTTTGGACCCTCGGACATGCATTCGCTAAAGTCCGCCCACAACTAGGCTGAATAATTAATGTTTCAATTAGAATGCTATTATCGAAGGCAAACAGAAGCCGCCCAGGGGATGCGAAGGTGAAGGACACCGAAGGACATTGTAATTCATCCGGCCAAAGGGTTGGGGGGCTGGATTTAACACTCTAGTTAGAATGCTTACAAATTGCCCGGCCAGATCCGGTTGGCAGTTTATTGTCCACTCAACTTGACCTGCTTGAGCTGGGGCGTTCATAATTCGCATTGTTACGAGCCCAGCCCCTCGCCTTTGTGGCCATCCAATCAATGTGCTCCTAGTTGCTTCTGGACTTTAATGAACGGCCGGCTGGCAGGCAGGCTGGTTGGCCGTTCGGTCTTTCGGCGGTGCTCGTAAAACTTGGCTGCCCCGGCCTTGAGTCCGATGGCCTAGGCCAGTTTCCCCTCGTCGATGGCGGAGGCAATGGGAGGGAGCGGAGGGAGGGGAGGCCCATGCAAATTGCTCAGACCCTGGACGGACTGCGTGGGCTTTGGGTGCGCCTTTTGCTTGTAAAGGGTCGAGAAATGGCCTCCCATTTGCGTGTTCCTCAATCTTTAATCGCTGGGAGCACGTGAGAAGCCTGATTCCAGACGGCTTAGGCACTGCCACACCAATGGAAAATGGCCGCTCAAATCGAACTGAATCATTGATTAGTCCTCGGAGAGCGAGAGTTGTGCCTTACTTTAAAGTTGAAATGGAAAGCTGTTTGAATTTTTAGAATAAGTTTAAAAAATCTAAAGATTGAATGGAGTAAATTCATATTTTTATTTATTTAAAACTGTAATGATGCATGAAATGTTTAATAAGTTCATACTGAGAACTCATTTTTCAATCAATGGGAAACAAGGGACAATGTTTAATACCTCAACACGTTTGATAAGCATAAATTTTAAATGGATGGATTGTAAATGAAACTAAAATTAAAAGACCCAAATGTATGCATTAAGAGTCTCGATTCCTTTATCTTATCGCTATAATTATTCATTGGTTTTTCCAGGATCGGACCACTATGAGCGACCGAGGAGCCCGGTAATGATGATAGCATGACGCGTGACGGCGAAATTCCAGCCATTTTCAATCCGAAACGGGTGCGCACTCCTTCAGTGGTGGTCACCGGCGACTCTTCGACGAATGGCCCGTACAACAGCAGCAACACTGGCGGTGGCGGCGGACCGGGAGCCAGCAGCAGCGCAGCCGGAGTCGTGGGAGTCGTCATGGGAGCTCCTGGATCGTCTGCCCCAAATGGCAGCGGTAGCGGGGCAACAGGCAGCTGCGGCTTCAGCAACGTGCTCACCTCGAGCAACCCGCAAATAACCCACCAAGACTCGATCTCGTCGAGCCAACAGGACCCCAATGAGGTGATCATCATACCGGCGGACACCCCCACGAGCGCCTCCCACAATGCAGGGCACCACTTCGGCGGCGGCGACTCCGGCGACACGCAGATGGAGCAGCAGCAGGCCAATGGCCACGGGGAGGAGCCGGAGCTGCGTTTCCGAAAGCTGCAGGCCTGCAAGGAGTCATGCTGCTCTGAACTGGCCCGCAAGGTGAGACAAGTAGAACATACATTTCAAACCACCACACAACCCTTTTTTATCGCTACATGAACGCTATAGTTATTTAATAAATTTATAACTTTAAAGTTATCCCAAGAAATAATGTTTTTGGAAGGTTCACAATTGTAATTTAAATGATTAAAGTCACTAAAGTGTACTATGAAATTGATAATACCTAAGCTAAACTCTTAATTAAATTCAAAGAATCTTTCATCACATGCCAAATATCCAATTGATCTGCTTTTTCAGAAATGACTAATCTTTTAACGTTCATGTTGTTATGCAGATGTACTTTGGAGTGTGCGTGACCATCCTGATGACCGCCTCGTGGGTGGGAGCCACCCACTGCATTAAGTATATGTACAAGTACCGTGCTCCGTACGACGACTTGCTGAACGACGACCAGGACACGTCCTCGAGCCGTGCCGATTTGAGCACGGAGCTGGAGGACATACTGGCCATCAGCGACTCGTCGCTGCACCACGTCGAGGACGCCACCGAGATGTTCAACATACCACCGCGCCAGCCGGTCTACTTCAGTGCCCCCTTCTTCGCCGCCTGGTTCTTCACCAACTTCTCCCTGCTCTTCTTCCCCATCTACATCCTGGGTCTGGTCTCCACGCGCAAGTGCGAGAAGCTGAGCGATATCCTCGGCGACGTGATACGTGGATTCCGGGAGCGCGGCTTCACAGTGGGTGAGTTGGGATACTATCATTACACGTTGGATACCATATCACCTAACTGGCCATTCGCCCACAGGTCGCTTCCTCAATCGCTGCCTCTGCTTCTGCATTTTGTGGCTGGTCACCACCTACCTGTACACTCTCTCCCTGCACGTCCTCTACGCCACGGATGCGCTGGCCCTTTTTGCCACCAACGTGGCCTGCGTCTATCTTCTGTCCTGGGTGATCCTGCATGAGCAGTTCGTGGGTGTGAGAGTAAGTGCAATCTGTTGTCAAACAAAAATCTCAAGAAATTTTAATTGGCCCATACATTATACAAGCATATTTTATAAAACATTTTGTTAACTAAATTTGTATTGTAAATTTAACATATAATAAGGAAAGTACCTAAATCAAAAAGTTGCTAAGAATATAAAAGAATTAATTAAAAGTGAATGCCATCTGCAATAATAGCAGTAAAGACAGATTTGAAAATCAGTTCAAAACAAAAAAAACAACATCAGTTAATTTCTCGGTTTCTTTGAATTGAGCTCAACATACTTTTCCCTTTCGATGATTTTCACATATTCCGCAATGATTTTGCTGTCTAACAGATGCAGTGGCTCGTCCTTATGCATGATGGCCACCTCCAGGTGGTTTTGGCCCGACTGGGCGACTTCGAGGAGGGCTCGTATGGCCAGCTTGACGGCTCCGCGCTCGTTGCTGACCTCCTCCTCGCAGTAGGTCTTCTCAAAGAACTCGCGAACAGTATTTGCTGAACGGCCGGTGGCGTTCGCCTTGAACTCATAGAAAATACCAGACGGTTCGGTCTGGAAGAGATGTGCTGAGCCATTGGCATCGAAACCGCCGATAAGGCAGGATATCCCAAAGGGACGACGGCCATTGCTCTGCGTGTACTTCTGCTTCAGCTCGGCAATATATCTGGTAATGTACTCCAGGGTCACCGCATGCTCGAAGTTCAGACGATGACTCTGGCACTCAGTCTGAGCACGATTTACCAGGATGCGGGCGTCCGCCGTTAATCCCGCAAAGGCCATCACAACGTGGCGATCGAGCATGCTGATCTTGCGCACCGAGCGATCCTCCTGCAACTTGGCCACCGAGCTCTTCTCCACGCCCAGCACCACACAGTTGGCCCCGCGAACGCCGACTGCAGTCGAACCCTTTCGGACGGCTTCCTGGGCGTATTCCACCTGCAACAAATGCCCGTCCGGCGAGAAAATGGTCACAGCTCGATCATAGCGCGAGGACATATTTTGGATTATTTCAACAGAAGAGATATTAAAGAATATTGGATCGCTCGATATTCCTTTAAACTATTAAACAAGTGATTGTAAATGCCTGGGCAAATGTTTAAAACTTTTGGGTGACCTCTTTAAAAACCTCTTTCCAATTAGAGGCCACAATTCTAGTAGAATGCCCAAAGCCATAATTAGTGTTTTTGATAAAAGCTATTAAGAAAGAAATACAATTCTATAGCCATACAAATTGTCATAATCTTTTGCTTTAACCCCAGTTTAATCACCTATTTATTCCAGATCGTGGCCATCATCCTTTGCGACACGGGAATAGCGCTGCTCGCCTACATGGATGGAATCACGGAAAGCCGAACCCTGAGCGGCGTGGTCCTGGCCACTTTGGCCGGAGCAGGCTATGCCGTGTTTAGGGTGAGTACCCCGCAACCGATGTCCTGTTTTCCCGTTTCGTGTGCGGGCCATGTCGTGCTCATGTTGGCCTGTCGCTTTACAGGTTATGTTCCGCAAGGTGATGGGCGATCCGCCGGTGAGCCAAATCGCCTTCATATTCACCGCCCTCGGCTTTCTGAACGCCCTGCTGCTGTGGCCCGTGGTGCTGGGACTCTACCTGACTGGCACGGAAAGCCTGTCCTCGGAGAGCATACCCTGGAACCTGCTGTTCGCGGCGAGCCTCCTGCTACTCGGTAAGACCACCTTTCTCGACTCTACTCCGTCTGCAATTGTTGTGCTGTAAACTTTTATCGGTGTAATTAATTTTGATTGCAGTTTTCCACGTTCTGATGCAGTTCAGTGCCGCCGTTACGTACAACATGTTTGTGACATTGGGTCTGATTACCGCTGTGCCCGTTTCTGGTGGTATGTACACAGGCGAGCTCCTCAGCATGATTACCAGGGGTTAGGTGGGGTCCTGGGCTAGCCTCTTTTCGCTTCAAGGATTCCGTGACTATAAATTGTTTTAAATTGTAATATAAAAACCGGGCACTCATGTGAGGCACGTAAGACCGTTTGATCTTTGTAGTTAAAGGGGGCAATGCGACATAAATTTTTACAATTCTCTAACCAAGCTATGTTTAGTAAATGGAATGTTGCTTCTTAAGAACTTAATAATTAAAGTTTGAGTTTGAGTTTGAGTTTGATTAGACTGAAGAAATAAGATTTTTGGAACTTAAATTAGTTTAAAAAAAAATGTGAATAAATAATTTTTGAATTCCACATTATATTCAATATTCTAGCACTCGATGTCATACTGTACAGTGCGAACTTTGCGGGCATGAAGCTGGCCGGAGTCATTCTGATTGGCATCGGGTTTTTCCTCGTTATGTTCCCCGCTAACTGGCCAGACTATATAACGCGATTATTGCGGTAAGTGGGAAATATTTCTCGTATTTACTCATATTGCTAAGAATAATTGTTATGCAATTAATATGCTAATTTTCTTTGTCAGAGTAAAAGACTCGTGCGTGTTTGTTTCAAATATTTTACGGCTTTAGTTCATTTCGGTTGTATATTATTTTGGGTTCTTATTTCAAACTTATTATTTTATGTTGTTGCTACGCAGTGGCATTAATGACTAAAGCAAACGTTTAAATACATAAATCATCGAAGAAATTAAAATTTATACTCATGTTTGATTTTAATAAAACGCTGTTAATTTCCTGTATACTCACATAAACTATATATTTAATTTTATATAAACAAACATCTTGCAGAAAGAGCGTTCGTGCCATACTCCGCTACCAATGTTGTTGTGAATTAGCCGAAATTCGCTATGCTCATTCGGTAGGCCAAAAACACAAGCTAAGCCAAAAACCCAAAACCAAAAAACCCAAAAACAAAACCAAACCCTTGATTCAAGACACCATTAGATATAAATTAGAACCGTAGGCATCCTAAGATTTGTGTTTACAGAGAACGAACCTTCCAACTGAACTTTGACTTGATAATGCTAATGATAAGTAATTGAAACTTGGCAGATTTTTTACTGAATACAACAAGAAAAACTTCTATGCTATCTATAGGTATAAAAACACCCATCCCACAAGCAAACAACTACAACACTTTGGCTTCCAACTTTGCGCTCACCCTTGTTGAAAGAAATATCTAGACATGAGTATCTAAGTGTTTCTATATATACTTGCCTTTATGTACACCCAATTAACTATATACCGAAATATACCTCTACACACATTTTACGAACATATATCTATATATCGTTACCGTTAAATAAAGCCGTTTTATCAACACTAACTACTTCGGCTGTTGTGCAATTGGTTGACAATCTCATCTCGTTGTTGTTTTTAGAGTTTTCTTTTGGCGCTGCCGTTGCCATAAATGTACTTATACTTATTGTTGTTGATACTTTGGTTGATTTCGTTTCGTTTCGGCATATCAGCAACCCCCTTACCAACCCAACCATTTCGGATGCAGTGTTATAACCAGACCGATCTCAGTGCCAATCTTTTGTTTTGCCCATTTGTGTAAGATATATCCTTGTATTGGATCCTGGATGTTGGTTGCTGGTGCCGAGGTTCTATTATTGTAGTAGTTCCTACACCTGAACACTACACACCCACCCACACACTCTGAAACACACACACCCACCTCAACGTATGTAGTTTGAGTTTCGCTGGTGTTGCGAAAGTTTCCATTTTAAGATCCATGCAGAACTCCAAAAATATGGATGCTGGTGACTATGATGATGATACTGATAATGATTTGTTTGGCTGTTTGTTGTGTGACCTCTACTGAATGGCAGCTTATTGTAATTGGACTAAATCTGTTGATTTGGCCAGAACCTGTACGTGTAAATAAATTCGTTTTTTTTTTGTTTTTGTTCTTTATTTTTACTCAAACTGTCTGCACCTAGAGAGGAGAGCGCAAGTTTCCATAAATGTTTTGCAGATGTAAAGAAGCAGCATGAACAAACTTTCCAAAAATGGATCTAAGTCTTCCTCACCCTAATGCCCCAAGTTAATCCTTTTTTGCATTATCATTTATCATAACTTTATCAGGATGCCACTGGCCAGAGAGAAACCAAATAAAAACAAAACCCCGACCTTTAAAAACGATTAAATCCTAAATAATGATATACATTAAAATGCATTCAAATTGTTACTGATTGGCATGTTTGAACCGACCTTCATTTACTCTTCGTTTTCGTTTCGAATTGACAGTTTTTCATTTTCCAAACCGATCTAATCTTGAGTTACTCCTTTATTTCTGTGCGATCTGTCTGTCTATCTATAAATTCTTCAAGCTCTTCTCTATGCTATATACTCTATTTACTTCTTATATATATAAAAAACGTGTCGACATTTCTCAATTGTCTTTTTGCAGAAGCATCATAATGCTGGGTCACAATGCGAGGTGAGTTTCAAGATTAGGCTGAGCTGAGAATTGAATATGTTTCTTACAACCTAAGCATAAACAACACGGTGCCCGAAATCTGAATAAGGGTTTTTCGTTATTATACTCGTACGCCATATAGGAAAACCTCACTCTAAATACCCAGCCCATACCGAGACAAGCAATCTACAAACTTACTAATATATTTATCCAAATCCAACTGTAAGCGAAGTATGTTTTTTTCATTCGATTTCGTTTTAATCCTTAGAGAACTCTTGCCTAGACTTTTGATAATTCGGGTTTGATTTGGTTTCGTTTGGTTTGTGAGGGATTGCAACTGATTCTCTTTATCTTACCTCTCGCATCTTAGTTATGGTTTAAATATCCTTTTCGTAAGCTAATCCGAGTAACAGTATGATAGCCTTTGGTTAATAAGTACAGTACGACTGGGTAGTCTCAGTCCGGCAGATTTCGGTTAACTCTTCTTTTGGCCCAGTGCTAAGGTAAGTCGATCCGAGGGTCCTGCATTGCCCCACCGCCAGCTAAACTCACCTCACCTAAAGTGTATCGATCCGATGCCCAATGACAGACTCACCAAATCACCCAAAAAAAAACCACCCACCCACTCACTTTCGGAGCCACCGGAGTAGATGCAAAGATCATGATCTTCCGTTGAACAGTTTCTTGTATGATATTTTTTTGGAGGCATCTGAAATCGTGTGCTGGTTGTAAACGGTGCAGCAGCAGCCTTGCGGCATGTGTACGTGTCAAGGATACAAACCCCCTTCACACATATCATCTCAATGTGCGGCCGCTGCATCGTTTAGAACCAGCTAGGTAACTAGCAGTAGATACTCCTGATTTGTATATAGTAACACCGCTAATCTGTACTATTGCTTCTTTTTCTTCTTGTTTTTCTTCTTCACCTTTGCCACAACCTGCCTATCTCTCTTTCTCTCTCTCTCTCTCTGTTTCTCTGGACTATCTCCTGTTCTCGAACTGTGTTCTCTCTTTTTCTTCACACACAAACTACACCTACACACACACAACCGAACTGGACCTGGCCAAATTGAATGACTACCATTGCAAAAATACACCGTAAAAAACAATTAAACATGACCTCCACACATTTAAACCATGTAGCGGTAGGCCAGCGCTTTGTAAACGAGATGCTATAGTCACCGGACCGTCCACCAGATATGCGCAGCGGCACATCACGCGCACGCACCACATAAGCTAAGAGTTTCGGACGGGTCACTGAATTGTACAGAAAACAAAAACCAGAACAAGACAAGATATATTTTGTAAAAAGATTTTCCAAAAACAAAAAAAAATGAAACTAATACCCAAAGAAAAACTCTGAAACTCAATTGCACCACTTGCCAATCTGGGGTAAGTACGAAACTTGATTGATTTGCTAGCGATAAGTACTACAAGGTACAGTTGACACCCGTAGAAATAGTCCTTTATCAGGCATCACCTTAATTCTTATATTTTTATCTTTTTTTGAACATCCCTTCAAGTTATGCGTTCTCTTTGTCTCTTCCCTATCTGACTCTCCTTCTGTCTGGACTCTTTTTGGATTTTCAACTCACAGATCGCAGCATATATATGCTACCCATTACAAACACAATCGAAAGTATTACGCGGTCAAAACCGACAACATATGAATGTTGTTTGAGCCAATCGCATGAATGATAAACCAAACCGGCGTGTGGCTTCCGACTGTTTTTGCTTAGGCCCTCGGCCACTGCCACGCCCTCGCATCTCCCCCAAAAACCCAAAAAGTTTTTACAACTGTTATGCGACTGTTAAGAACACTTTTGTACCAAACTACGTTAAGTACCATTCAAGTTTCCAACTGGGAAACTAAAACGAACAAACGGTGAGAGCCCCTAAAAATGAATTTTTGATCAGCTCTTAGAATCACTAGCCTCACCCTCAATTCCCATGTACAGCTCACCAAATCAACACCAATTCATTAGATCAAAAAACTTTGAAAAGTATTTAAATCTTTTTTAAGTTATGTTTGCATTGTAATGTTTACAGCTTGCCTATGTTGTTGAGAAGTATCTTTACTAGTCAGGCTACTTATGAACTTTGGAGAGCACAGCTTAATGTAACTATTTGTGGCACCCGTAACTTGATCTACCCCGCTTAACCCCCAACACTCCTCACACCGACAACCACACACACAACACACACGATAAATTTGTATATAACACACACAAAACATCAGTAAAAAATCAGTAAAAAGTCTTAGCGCTTAGGCTATTGTATCTATGCACTGCAGACACGGTATCCCACCCGGAACCCAATTCCCGGGGAGTCCTGTCCCCTGCAGTGCCTAGCCCAAAATGATATAGTCTTGCAAGCGCTTACTCTATGTAAATGTGAGTGTATGTAGCGCCTTAGAGTTGAACACCTAAGAAATGCCTAGAAAGTAAATCAAACTAATGCCAAACAGAAGAGAACTTTAACCAGATAGCTAGCCCGGCTGATACTAACATGTGACACTTTGTCTTTACCACCCAAAAAAACACAAAAAAAAAAATATCTCCCCAAACACAAACTCTAGATGGGGTCGCGGCCCTCGGAGCGGTACTTCAACAGGTCAGCATCCCACCATTATCGACTATCGGACGGGATACATAAGGTCCCATCTTCGTTCACCCTCTGGCCGTGTGAGATGACTGATCTGTCGCCGACCACCACTGGGTTTCTACATGGCCATGGCGGCGCCAACGCACAGCATCACCAGCAACTTTTGCACCACCAACAGCAGCATCAGCAGACCCACCAGCAGCACCTCCAGCAGCAGTACCACCACCGGCAGCACTCGCTCCACCAGCAGCACCTGCAGCGCCAGCACTCGCACACCTCGCTGACCAAGATCCACCGTCAGAGCAGCAGCCACAGTGTCCACGGCGGTGCTGGGCGGGCGGTGGCCACCACCACCGGAGCCACCGGACGACTGTTTTCCTACTTCGGCAACGAGCAGGATCACGAGCGCAAGAAGTCGGAGACGTCCTTCTTCAACCTGGGCTTTCGAAGGAAGTCCACCGTGGTCTACTACGCTCCGTCGGATTGAGGCACTTGGGAGTCCTTGCTCAGGCATATCAAACAATGAAAGCAAGAGGATACAATCAGATTTATTAGTGGGTCAGATCGGTTACAGTTTTTGTGTCATTATATCATAATTATTGTCGTTGTTGTTGATGTAAAAGTTCAATCGGACCGCATGCAGTTACAATTTTGCTCAAATATAACACATTTAAAGGCTACAGTTACAGAATCAAATACACACCAGCACGGAGATTAGAGTCTCCTCAGCTCCAGTCAAGAGAATCCATGAGAATCCACCCCTGCCGCGCCTTGAATCTCAATCTCAGAGTACAGAAACCCAAGAAGGGAGCCCGCGAACCGAGCTCAAAAGTGCCCCGAAAGTTAACTATATACGGTTATAATTTAATACTCATAATTATTACGAAATTGTGTAAGGAATCGAAGCCAATTGTTTTAGCAATTATATACATTAATTATAACGGCAATGAATAGTCAAATATTTTAAAGTGGATTCACTCAAAGGCACACCTTAAGAAGGGATAGAAAACGAAAAACAGTAAAATCCAAGTTATTTAAGGAAAATAAGATAGAAACGTCACCGAGAAAATTAAATGTTCACCCGGCTAAGAAACCCATTAAACTGTAAGCTCATCTAGCCACTAGATCCAAATGGTTTTTCATTTAAACGTAACCTTAACTGAGGATTGGATTTTTGTTAAAGTTTTTTATTTGAACGTGAACTGAATGTGAACCGGGTCAAAAACGAATCGAAGTATTAGTATTTTTTAAATGTTTATGTGTTGTTCGTAATTTGAAATTCGAAGTGTTGTAGAGTCGAAATAAATCAACGAGGATACTGTTGTATTAACGCGACCGCCTCTAGTTTGAACCAATCCTGGGGTTTCCCTAATGGCGCATTCAGAGTTGTCGCATGTTATATGAACTAAGTTGTGTAGCCACATCCAATAATTGATTTTGTGATAGTTTTTAAAAATGTTTGATAACCAACTGCATACACTACTTTTACCTACCCGCCCGAAAAAAGAGGCAATGGTATAGCTGGGATGTATTTAGAACACACAAAAACCGAACACGAAATAAATAGTTAAAGAAAAACTAAATAAACGTTTTATTTACATTAATTTTAATGGCAGCATGCCATGGACCATTTTTCAATTGTCTACAGAAACGTCAGGGTTGAAGGAAGTTGTAAATGTCTCAGTATTAAAACATCAACCATTCTGATTAAATCCCCCTCCAAAAATTTGTTAAAATTCTAAAAGGATCAAAAAATAAATCAAAGTCCAAATTAGAAATTACTCTTAATATTTCGTGGATAGGAATACCGACTGTAATCCGTTCGATAGCGGAAGCCAATTAAAATCGAACCGAGCAGTCCAGTGATCGCGAATATACACAAGATAAAGAAATCGGAGGAGAATTTGCGACGCTCGGCGATTAGACGGGCGCCGTGAATTTATTTTGGTGTTCTAAGATCTTTTGTATTTTGTTTTTGTTCTCTATAATATCATATCATTGTGATATCATTTCGCACTTTTATAAAAGCTGATAAATTCAAACTTTGGATTTTGATTTTTGATTTGTGCACTTCGATCGTAATACGTTAAAATTGTAAAGCGTGACGAAAAATTCAAATCTTAAGAAGACCCGAAATCGGAAGCGGAATTAAATTCGACTAACGTTGGGGACATTCGCATGCAAAATGAATAAGTTTGGTAAGCAGATTGTTTTACTATAAAATCATATATTTGAACATTGTGTATATGCATTGCTGTTTAATTATTAGGCACTTAAAATCTAAACATTAGGCTACAAGGGAATGTTGTAAAAATTCTGCAATTTTCGTTCAAGGCACTTAACACTAAGATAGATACATAATACAAAATAGACTGCTCATTGGACGGACGTTCGATATAGTCTGCGGTATTAATGATATTCAAGAACAAATGTTCATTCAGTTTTAAGGCACAATTTACACTTTTGATTAATTTTTGCTTTGTACTGATCTACAAATCTATTGGGGAATGTTAAGGGACAAGGACTTCCAAAAACAAAACTAAAAGCGGACACGGCCAGCCACTCGAACGTGTTTCCGCAGACGAGGGCATTTTTCCAAATGGAAATGGAGGAGTTGCCCGAATGCTGAGACAGTTACTGCCCACCGCTGCTGCCCTGAAATGACTATGAAAAATGTGTGAAAAAGATTTTTTGTGCCCCTGTCCAGCTACCTATGGCTATAAAGTTTTTAATGAAAAAAGCTGTAGATTTCTTTTTTGCCCTGGTAGGAGACCAAGTGGCTGATAAACTGGTTCCTGCGGCGCATAGAAAAAGTTCTCAGGGTACAGATAATAAAAATTCAAGCGCATATGATAATCAAGGCGCAAAAAACAAAAAGCGGAAAAAACGCCACAGCGGCAGCAGCAACGGCATATATATATATATTTAATTCAGGCAAAAAATCGCAACCAACGGACCATCGACGATTTAATATAAGAAAAACACGACGGCAGGCGTTGGATTTTTTGTGCCATCCGTTGGCAGGAAAAAAAGGTGTGCGTGCGGCACAAACAACCCTCAGCTTGGACCTGGACGACCTCCCCGATGGGTGTAGGTACGACTGGGTTCCGATGTTAACAGGTTTGCGATCGCCGCACACACGCACACACAGCTGTGCGACTTCACGGACATTAGAGAGGATCTCCGAAGGAGAAAAAGACGAGCTACACGGCATTTCCGTAATCTGAGCGCAGTAGGCGCGGCTGTTTGCGCTTTTCTGCCGACGCTGCCGCTTCTGCTGCTGCTCCTACCGCCTTTGATAGAAATGACAAATAACCAGATTCATTGTAATAGATTATGTCTACAACTTAATCGCCTTGCAGATAAATGATGACAATGTTCAAAGGGAGCAACGGTGGAGAGGTGAGCTGGCAGCTCGTTTTGTTTTTGGGTGTCAATTTTGTGTCTGTGTAGCTTTGTAGTTATATCTTTTGTAGAGAGATTTGATGTGAGTTTCTTTTGGACGGAAGTTTGCGTTAGTTATTTGGCGTGCGGCTGCTTAACTAAATCTATACAGCAGGGTGAGCGTGAGCCCGATCAGCGCAACCACAAGTCCCAGAGCGGATTGCAGACCCGAGGCTCCTGCCAATCGGCACTTGAACATATCGTAGCGAGTCTCGACATCATTAACGATATTTTGATACTCTGCCTCCACGAGCTGGCCGTCGTAGTAGGTGATAAGATCCTCGAAAGGATACTCGTAGCCCTGCAGGCACTCGCACTTGTAGCCTCCGGTTTCATACCCACGACCCATGATGGGAACGCACTGAAATACAATTCAGATTAGTTATTTAATTTTGGTTATAAGAGAAGAAAATTTAAAATAATGCTTATATCAGAATGTACTCACGTAGGATGACTGCTCGTCGCACTTGTGCGTGTCCTTAAAGGCATTTGGCTGGTAGTACCAATCCGGACACTGGTTGATGTCCAGCTGCATCATGTCCATAGAGACGGCCACCACACCCCTGCGCAGAGCAAACAAATTAGTCAGTTTAATTGCTTCCATTTGCATCACAATGCCAGAAGTCACAAGTCAAAAGTTAGGTCTTGTCAACACTCCAAAATTAGACAATCAAACGCAGGCATTTGCATGTGAATAGAACTGGGACGTATTCCTATTTTGGGAGTGGGACTGCGCCCTGAAAAGGGGTTTGAGCGGCCCGCGACGGCGGCACGCAGCGGACCGGCCCAACAAGTCTCTCAACCCAAACCCAACCCCTATTCCACATTGATCCCCTCTACTCACTTGAATTCCAGCTTGACTTTGAGGCTGTCCCAGCCGAAGAAGGGAGCCGCATAGGTCACCAGCCACTTCTTCACGTATCCGTCGCAGTCGAACTGCGGTTGAGTCCAGTAGCCGTGCTTGATGTTGGCCGCTCTGTACGAGTTGGGGTAGTGCTCGTACTTCTGCTGGTATTCACCTGTCTCGTTGTGCCGGATCTTGATCTTCATGTAGAAGGTCTCCAGGTCGTCAAAGTTGGTGTTCCAGCGTTGCTTGAGAAACTTGAAGTACTTCTTCTCCGTGTAGAGCTCGTGCGTTTTGTTGATGCGCGCCAGATCCTCCACCTTGAACTTCCGCGTGTTGAGCTCCGTTTTGTAGGCATAGGGTGCGAAGTAGGTGCGATTGGTGAACTTGTTGCGCTCCCAGAGCATTGTGGCCGACCAAACCTTGCTGTCGCCCAGGACAATGGCCAGGGTCTCGCCGATCATTTGGTCCTCGGTTAGCGGCTTGTCGGCCACACGTTTGCCGGAGTAGACCTCGTTGGGATCCGATACCTGCGCAAAGGGGAGAATCGAGTTCGAGTTTGAGTTTGGGGAACATTTTGGGTTTTGGGAATGAGTTTCCCCCACCGCTTTTCAATGCTAACAACTTGTGCAAATATGGACATAGAGAGCGAGCTGAAAGAAGACTCTCATCCCCATGATTTCCCTAGGTTCTCGATGCTGCTGCGGCTGGCATTTAATGAAGACGACGCCTTGTGGCGAACCCGTTTTTCGTGTCCTCGGCGCTCAAACTAATGAATTTAGCATTTGGTAATGGTTTGACACTGAATATTTAATTCACGCCGCGCGGCTGGCAACGCAGAATTGCAAATAGCAAGAGCAGCATCATCAGCAGCAGCGGTAAAAACCGAGAAACTGGCATTGCAGGAAATTCGAGGAAGTTGAATTACGCGTGGAAAATTATAATTTACACTTGAGAAGTTTTCAAGAGCCGTCGTCGAAGGCTCTTAATAGGTGTCGGGTTATCAATTATTGCTCTTCATTTAGCGTGAAGGCGAGCAGCGGCGATGGGAACGCTCTGAATCGTTTGCTTACCTGCAGGAAGGCGCTAATAAAGTTGGCCAGTCGCACAGCCATCTTTGCTTCGTTCTCAAACTGCTCCTTGGCGCCGAAGCTGACATCGCCGCGCAGAATCAGATCCTGCGGATGGAAGCTGTCAAGGGGAGAACATAATTGATTAATAAATTGGAGTAACTTTGGCTAGGTAGAATAGGGATTTCTCTACCATTGAAAACTAAGGTTTGGCTTACTTTTTGCAAGTGCGAAAGTTGACTCCATGAATGTACTTCAGCGCTTGATCTATGTTTAAATGCTCCGAATGGAGAGCCCTCGAGCCAGTGGAGTAGTTTCGATATTCCATGTGCCTGTCCAGATACTTCTGGCGTACGTGGTAGGGCGCCTTCTCCCAGTGAATGGGTAGCTTTTGGATCCCTAGAAAAGGCAACAACATTCAATTTCAACTCTTAAAAATGTTTTACAGCACCTACAGCCAATCTTAAGGCAGTTGTATTCATTGTAGTACTGCTCTGCCGAGGCCCGCTCCACAATCTCGCCCAGATAGGGTCTCCGCACTACGTTAGGCAGCCGGTAGCCCGGTTTACAGCGGCACTGGTAGCCACCGCGCCTGAATCCCCAACCGTGGAGTGGTTCGCATTCCGTGGTTTCTTTTTTACACCGCGCCGTGTCCGCAAAGTGATTTGGTCCTTTGTTGCCTTGACCCGTAGGACACTGGTTGATGTCTATACGCTCAAAGTCCATCTCAAGCACCGAGACAGCAGTGTATCTAAAAGGGATCAAAGGATTAGGAGTAGGGAATGAGGTGACTACAAAGCAAAGCTTACTTGGGGTATTCGATGTGCCGGAACTGGGTGTGTCGCGGGTAAATATCTGCAATGGGCACCACGGCGGCCACCAGCCATTTGTTGGACCTGCCACAATCGAAGTACGGCCTTGTAAACTTTATGGGACCGGGGTTTTCCTCAGAGCCAGGCGGTCCATGGAAAGTGTACGTCTCGTTGGTGTTGTTCGCATAGCGGATCTCAACCTGATAGGTGATCTTCGTGTCGTGCCGTCCCTCCACATTGTCTGGCAGCCAGGCGCGGTACCACTCATTGATCTTGTAGAGGTCGTGGGTGTAGTCCTTTGATATAGAGTCTGGATGATGGGCGCCTAGATCCTGCACGTCGAATGTGTTCCACGTGGAGATTTTCTGCAGGTGAATGGGGTCGTTGAAATCGTCCAGCCGGAATGTACGCGGTCCAAATCTCGGGAAGGTCTTGTTAAAGAAGCCTCGATACGATGAAGAATACGAGCTGTTGGGCGAGAAGTACACGGCCGAGGCGTTGATGTGTGGATTGGCGGAGACGTCGGCCACGGTAGACAGGAAGTAGTACATCATGCCGGGATCGTAGGTGTCGTTGATGGCGGGTCGAATGAATCTCGACTGGAGGATGTAGCTCCAGAAGAAGCTCCTACTCAAAGCCATATTTTGCAGATGGAGGAGAGCAGTGCGATTGGGGAACACCGGATTTACGTTGACCTCCTTGATGTCAGGCTTGTGGGACACCGAGTCCAGGGGCATGAACAGATCGGAGTGGTGCTGGATGGGGCAGTTGTCCGCGTTTACCTTGTCGAACTGCCTCTTGATCTCGTCGAAGGCATCCCGGGCCTGCCACTCGTGTTGGGCGAACACGCCCACGGCGAGTACCAGCATAAAAAGCAGGTAGCTACGCCCCAAAATCGAGGAGGGGAACATCTTGCTCTTGTTCTTCCTTACGCCTTTATTGCAAACCAAACAAACCAAGCACTTAAGTTAAAAACTAAACATAAAATCAAATTCTAGGGCGAGCCAACGCCAAGCAGCGATTGGTAA